ATGTCTCATATGGATTCCATTAACATCAATTGGATTTCTTATTTGCAGTCCATCAACATACCTTAGTAGTTCTAATGGAAATTAGCTATAACTTATTTAGACCTATCTATGACTTGAATAGAATACAAAACTTGGACATTCACATTATCTTATTTTTTTCTTTTTCGTTATTTATATATGTGTTTTAAACTTTATATTGTTAGTTAATAATTAAAAGCACTTCCTTATACTTCCTACTAAGTCAATATATATGTTCAATGATTTGATAGTGCTTATATATATATATTGGAATTAAATTCTTTATACATAAACTAATTCATGAAATAAAATCATCTTTTGACACACATTATAATAAATAAATACACCATTGAAACAATCAAACAGCATGCTTCCAAAAACTACCTAAGAGCCCTTGTGGTACAACCTAATCTAAATTTTGATTTTATACTTAATCATAATTTCTTGTTGTTGTACTTGTAAATATATTATCATATTTCAAGGTTTTCCTTTGACAAAAATGAATTATTTATTTTTATTATTTATAAATAAACATATATCCTTAAAGTTGGTATTCTTCTTACAACATGTTTTTTTTTTTTTTATCTTGCATTGTAGACTTTATTATTGACAATTAAAATGAAAAATATCAAGTCTTTTAGTTTCTATAATAATGCATAACATTTCCATTATTTTTACTTTGTAGTTTACTTATACATATATTTACCTAAAAAATTGTCTTTTTGATATTTGCACATTTAATTTTGCTACCTTTTTTATACTTATTAAGCATATCTACATGTATAATATCAGTTTATTATTTTTTGTTTTGCAATATTTTTTGTCTCAGGTAGAATATTATAAATATATAACCTAATGATTAAATTACATTTTCTAAAATCTATCTTTTATAGCTTAATTTATCATAGACTTTTAATATATGTATGGCAATAACTTAGGTACATATTAAAGTATAAAGACCATAAATGATACAAATTCATAATGGAATGATTACATTGTTTATTGTGACTTATTTTTTACATATCACAACTTCTATATATAAAAAAACCCACATCCACTATTTTATAATTTTATATATTACTTATCCTTTAACATTGAAAATATTTTTGCATTTTATTTGATTGGATATAGAAGGATCTCACATCAAATTAAACCTTTGCACATCTACCGCCCCATAGGTCTCCATCATTATAACCCATATCTTTGTTTGAAAGATCAATTCCAAATGTATCACCAAAAACTCCATTTGATCTCATGGAACTCCACTCTTTCCTTCTAACTAATGCACCTTTTAACCTTCAAATGGGAATCATATTAGACTAAGTCATAATCCTCATTCCAAATGAAAGAATGACTACATTATCAATTGATGTTATTACAATGATTAATTAGAAAGGGTGTTGTGATGCACATTGCCATTCACTAAACATTTATCAATCGTTAAATGATTTTGATGAAGGTTTCTTATGATTCCATTGATTTCAACAACCAAATATGTCAACATCAACTACATGTAGCCAATAATATTTATGTATATAGTACCCTCAATATTAATGAATATTGATTACTCTTGCAAGTTTCAATTAAAAGTGCGACCTTCAACACATTTTACTTATTCTTTATATAATATATTAATATTTGCATATGGTGATCAATATTCATTAATCTTTTACCAAACTAATAAGCTAACATCAAATCAATACACCTAATTTGCAAAAACATGGATTTTTCAAAAAAGAAAAACAATTAACTCCTTTTAATGGGGCATGACATTAAGAGTTGCATTGAGTATCAGAATTTTGGAGTTCCTTGATAGCCTTAATAAAATGTATGGATTTGTCTTTTTCTTAAGGCTTAGTTTAGGAAGAGCGTAATGTTTAGTGCAAAAATTCTAACATTAAATAGTAAAGGTTAAATTATTTTTTGAAGTCAATCCTTTAACTAGTAATGATTAATTATTAAAATTTTTTAATTAAATTACTTACCATAACTTAAAAGTTGCCCAATCCTTTGAAACATGGTCCTATGTCTTAGACATTGGGTTCCGGGTCAAGACTTTTCATCAAGGTGTAACCCATAAAAATTATATTCATGAGAGTTTGGCGAAAGTTTTAGTATCAACTACAACCCTCCTCCTTCGTTTGGGCTTAGAATTAATAATTAAGAAAAGCTCACACTAGTAGAGTTTATTAATAATTATAAACTTAATAATTATCTGGTTGCAAGAGATATAACTCTACGTATTTAGGGTGCATGATACTATGTATTTAGGCCCTATGATTTCAATAGCTTTCAAGTTTCCAGCGATAACATAGTGGTGAAGAGATGGTTGGATGTTTATTGGCTTCCCCCAAGAGCAGGCACGATCAAAATCAACTTTGATACCTATTCAAGATCTGGAGAGTGTTCTGTAGCAGTAGTGGCACGGCTGTATTGTCTACTTCATAGGCTACAACCTTGGAACCTCGACCACCAATGCTACCGAAGCGTGGGTAGAATGGGAAGCCCATAATTTGATTGCAAACTTTGCGGATCAAGCAATTTTTATAGAAGGGGATTCACGCATAGTCATTTCCTTCCTTAAAGGTCAAGTGTATTCGTCTTAAACCATTAGTAACATTATTAGAGAATGCTTATTGTTCAGAGATCAGCTTAGTTAAGGGGTGGAATACAGACATGTTTATAAAGAGGCAAACCAAGCAGTAGATTGGATTGCTAGGGAAGTGCTTTCGGCTGATAATGGATGTATTTCATTTAATCATTGTAATCCCCTTGGGGGCCTTGGTTTAATTTTCTTCTATGATTCATGGGGTCATGCTACCCCCTGTCTTCTATAGCACCTCCTTGTTTTATCAAAAAAATAAAAGCTAAACCATTGCTTGTATGGATCATAAAAATTAATTTTTAAAATCCATTTTCATCAAAAATAAAAAATTAATACAAAATAATAGTTAAAAAATAATATTATTATTTTAGGATCTAAAGACATAGAAGAAATTGAATAGATGAAAAGAGAAGTCCATACACATCTTTCCTTTAAAATCCTAGCAAAGTTGGTATTTATGAAAAACAAAAGAAAATTAATTGACAATAATATGATAATAAAACCATACTTGGGCCTACTAGGCATAACCTAAAAAAAATAACGCTTGAATAGGACTTGGACTGACTTAACTCAATTAATTGGAAATGTCATAAGGTTTTTTCTCCAATTTCACTTAATGAATCTTGTGCATCGCATGGATCTCGACTAATATATATTAAAACAAAGCCTTTGGACTAGAGAGCTCCTCCTTCATACAAGTGGCATCTTATTTTCTCGAGAAAGACCATATCAAAAGTGGTTAATCCTTCCTAAGACATGTATCTATCCACTCAAATGGTAGTTACCTACACTCTCAGAAAAGTTAGTGATAATTACCTCCATTAAAAAGACCAAATAAAAGCAAAAACTCACCTCAAAATAGATTTTCCCTATTTACAAATAAAATTTAAATTAATATCTTAATTTAAATGACAAAGTAGATTCAATCGGATATCCAAATCTGATTTACATATCTATCCATACCATGGTTTTCAAAACTGAACTAGACTGGATGGTCGGACTAGAAAAACTAGGAACCTATCAGGTGATCGATTCTGTTTTACCCCAAAACCGTTATTTTGCCAAAAAACATTGATTTGGTCAACAAATTGCTGACCCGGGTAGTCGAACCGTTCAGTGGTTTTGGCCATTTTAATTTTGTTATTTTTTGTCAGAATGGGCCATCCGTTCCATTTGAACGGTTGGACCATTCAACCTGAGAACCACACCCCTGATCGGTTCATTGTTCGATTCAGTTTTAAAAACTTTGATCCATACCCCTATCCGAATATGATCCAATCCATTTGCACAACAAGATTTTGGCACAGGTGTGGGACACTCAGGCTAGGGATAACAATTTTCCCCATTTCCTTGATCCCCGTGAGGATCCACCTCGAATGGGGCAAGGATGGGGATGATTTTCCCCCTATGGGGATGAGGATGGGGAAATTTTCATCCCCGTTAGTGGGAACAGGGAGAGCACTCCCCACTCGTGGGAACCTCGATTCCCACCCCATGGGATTCTCACTAATATATATGTATATATGTATGCATACGTTATATATGTATATATGTACACATACATCTATATATTAATATTTTTAAAAACATGGTTGAATCTTTTCTAATAAGATTGTAAAATTTAATTATTTTATTTTTATTTTTTAATAAAATAAAAAACAAAAACAAAATGACAAGGAATGAGGATCCTAGTGGGGATGGGGATCCCTGTGGGAACAGAGATGGGGATAACCTTGTCCCCATTAGCAGGGATGGGAATGGGGACGGGGATGGAAGAGACTCCCCGTCCTAGCCCCACCCCGTTGCCATTCTTAACTCAGGCTGTGTTTGATTTGAAGGAAAAAGTAGGGAAACCTTTACAAATCTTGTATAGGTTTCCCTACATTATTTCCCTTCAAACCAAACATAGTCTCATTATTTGCGTGTGCGTGGCAAACCGTCCAACCTCTATGACATGGTAAAGTTTCTGGCTCGTCGTAGAGGAGACGTGGGATCAAAACCCACATTCGACACGATTGGGTTGGGGGTCTTTAAGGCTTTTCGCTTTTCGGGCCCGTGATCCCCGTTGTGCGCTGCCAGCCCATTGGCCCAAGGGAAAGAAACACAAACCAGTCAAAACTCAAAAGGTTTCCCGACGTAGGGCCCACATCAAATTAAATATTGCCACGTGGCAATGGGAGAGGGTTCACAGGACCTATTCGTCATCGTTCCTTTCCCGGTTCCCGCCGCTGAACATGCTGAATGGCCGAATGGGGTCCCTGCCAATCCGTCCTTAGTGTCTGTTGTACGTGTCCCACCTCACCTCCCACGAGGCCACGAACGTCTCCATCTGACTCTCTCTCTCTCTCTCTTCCCCTCTAAAAAGCCAGAACAAAAGAAAAACTGAAATCTATCGAAAGAGAGAGAAAGAGAGAGAGAGAGAGAGAATTTGGTAGCTCCATTTCCAAACCAACTAACCCACGAGAGAACAGAAAGCAAGCAACCGAAATCAATCAAAAACCATCTCAGATTTCCCTTGATTTCCCCCTCCTTTCTACTCTAGATCCCAATCTTTCTAGGGTTTCATTCTTCTTTCTCTGCTTTTCTCAGAAGAACAGAGGAAGAAATCAGATATGGTGGAGAGGCAATCCTTCTTCAGTCGGCTGCCGGAGGAACTAACGGAGAGGATCCTGGCCCACCTCCCCATCTCCGCCGTGTTCCGCTGCCGCTGCGTATGCAAGCAATGGAACTCCTTGCTAACATCCAATTCCTTCCTGGACCTCTGGGGTAAGTTCTCCCCTAGAGACGTCTGGTTCCTCGTCTACCACACGCGCCACATGGTCGCTGCTTACAGTCCTCGTTCCGGTCTCTGGAACAATCTCCCTCTGTACGATCGGTGTTCTCTCGACTCCTCTCAGGTCCTCCTCTTAGCGTCCTCCGGTGGTCTCCTCTGCTTCCGTAACCGCAATTCCGATTACCCTACCTTGATCGTCTGTAATCCTGTCACTAGCTCCCATAGGGTCTTGCCCGATATGCTTCAAATTCAATACATCGATATCGTCGGCATGGTCGCCGATGGGATCACCAATTCGTACAAGATTTTGGTCACTGGAACCCCTGAACCTGATTCAAACGAGAGCATTACCGAAGTCTACGATTCTAGAACACAGCGGTGGGAACACCATTGTCGGTCCCAGCTGGAATTCTTGCAGTTTTGGTATGAAGTTCATGCGATTTGGCACGACGGTTTCTTCTATTGCCTCGCGACTCCGCTCAATACTTCGCAAGGTTACCGCCTGATAGCTTATGATATGGGGAAGAGGGAATGGACTGATTTGAATGTGAAAATGCCAGCGGGTGATCTCCGGTGCCCGTCGTTGCTTATCTGTCGGGGGAAGTTACTTTTGGCGGGGAAAATTGTGGAGGATTATTTGATTAGGAGTGTTTGTATATGGGAGCTTAACATGGAGAGCATGCGGTGGGTGAAGGTGGAGGAGATGCCCGATGAGGTATTGAAGAAGATACATTCGCCGCACTCGGTGTTGATTCAGTGCCAAGGTCATGGAGATCTCGTGTGCTTTAGTACGCACCGGGGATGGCAGTCGATTATCTACAATTTGGCGGAGCGAACTTGGCATTGGCTGCCGGAGAATGATGTTTGTGTACGGAGCAAGTCGCAGGCAATGGGAAGGAATAACCTTGTTGGGTTGCCGTATGAACCTAGCTTATCCGCAAGAATATGAGTTGTTGCTGGAATGAAGTGGGTACATGAATTGGTTGGTGCATGAACGTGCTATATATATACCTCTGTGGAATTCTTGCTAACCATCAGGATCACTCTTTTCTGTTCATTAGTGTCTCGTCTGTGAACTACCAACATCTATCTGTTCTCCTCATTTCAATTCTTTGTTAGTTGTGGGAAATGTTCATGTGATATAATGTTGCTTTACTCAGTTTGTTTGTGTAAAGGTGACAATTTGTTTATATGTGATTGACATGATGCCTAACATTAATTCTCTAACTATATATCTGTTAGGTTTTCCTTTTGTTAATCTAGCTTTGTGGATCCGGAAAGGCTTAGGTGAAAGCTTATTCTCTGGATTGATTTCTGTTGGAGAGCTTGAAACAATGATATTTTGCTATTTCTACATGTTGCTTAATTTTTAATGCTTGTTTTATAGGTTTCAGCAAATCCTTGATGATCAAAACAAGAGAGGGATGTATGTAATCTGTTCTGGGAGTCTGTTATCTTGGTTTTATTTTGGTAGAATGACTTTTTAGCCAATAACCTTTAAAGACATGGTTGATTTCTATATAGCTTAGGTTTGTTGGTTTACCATAAAAATAAAAGAAATACGGAGTCCTGATCTTTAAAACAAAGAATACTGAATCCTTTGATCCTAATCTGTTGGTTTGCACAAGGCTAGACCATTTTAGTCAGAAGCTGTTGGTCACATGCTTGAGTTTACTGATTTGGTGCCAGAAATCAGTTTAAGAGGGTTGGAAATGTATATCTAAGCGAGAAAGAAGAGATACATCTTACATATGTTGTATTTATATTTTGTCTTGGGACTAGAAATAAGACAATTTTTCTAGGAGTATTATTTGGTTATATCTTTGTTTGAATTGAAAATGGTCATATTTGTTGTTTTCCTTGTTAGAATCTTGCAATGTCCTCAATGACCAAACTTGGTGGATTTGGGTGGTAGTTGTTAATTTGGCTTGTGTTGTTGTGTTGGGTGTTGTGAGTTGGCTGTGAGATTGGTTTAGGGGGTTGCTTTATCTTTATTTGTGGGTGATAGCTTATCACCTCCTTGATTCTTCTTTCTTAGTTCTTAATAAATTTTCTTTTTTATTTATAAGAAAAAAAAACCAAACTTGGCAGTAGCCCAATTTTCTCCTCTATCAGTAGACACCTTCTCTTTCTTCATCCTCATGTAGGTCTTCTTCATTATTGTATATTCTTTTTCATGTATGTGAAAATATTTGTGTGTTTGTCTTCTTAAATAACATAAGCATGGGGGGGGGGATATGGTAGGTTTCTGCGTGAGGTTATTTATGTTCTCATCAATTCCAATTGGACCATAATGCATGGTAATAGTGCACATGAAGGGGAAGCCAGCTGAAGATAATTGTGATTTATAAACACAAGGCCCATGAAGTCCTGATCAATAGGGCTTGATCTCTGCTGAATTGATAAGAGCATCTGACAATCAATGAGTTTGTGGTGGGGGAATTTTGAGTGGCAGTGGCTTAAGTTAGCTTGTGGACCTGGTGATGATGAGTCAAAATGATAACCATCAATGATGGATGGTGGCTAACAATAGGATTTATTCTGCATCAAGACGGGAAGATAACTTTGTGATGGAAGTTTGACATGGTTACTCATTAAGAGAGGGCTGCCTAAGAATTTGAGTTGAACAGGAATATTAGCTTGTAGGCCCATAATTACAAGTTACTGTGTTGTCTGCATGGCGATTTTTAGAGATAGTAGCAACTGGTTGAAAATTGGAAGCTAATGGTAGCCTTTTTTGTTTGATCTTTGTATGGATCCCTCTTGAGAATGTTGGAACAGCTCTTTTACAATTCTTCTTTGCTGGCTTTCCTGGCTCCCCCATGGAAGCTTTCCTTGGGTTTTCTTTTCTTGACAAGATTCTGTCAACCATTTTATTTATATTATTAATTAGGAATTAATATTTAGACTCATCGTATGTCACTATAGCAAGTAACTAGTGGATCATCTTCCTTAGTTTTAAGGTGGGCAATAGCATTTAGAACCTTTTCTCCTCAGCTTTTGGTATTCAGTTGAGAGTTCCCTCCACCTTTCTGATGATAGATTTCACCACAGTAGTTCTGTTGTCAAAGATCCTTGAGCTTCTCTCCTTCCACACTGTCCCCAGAGGATTCTTCCTCTAAGTTTCAGCCCTGTCATGAGCGAGGAAGATACCAGCATTTGAAGATCTTTGGAGGCGACCCAAACCCAAACTGTGCAGAACAATTGAAATAAGTAGGCCCATATTTATTATGTCCATCTGCATTGGATGAAAAGGTGCTGGACTAATTCAGCTTCCTGATTACATAAGCAGCATACATTATCTGGCAGCTTTCCTTTGTTGATTAGATGATCTTAGGTTAAAATCCTGTCAAGGACTGCCATCCATGTGAGAAATGAGACTTTTGATGGTGCCTCTAACCTCCAAATCCAGCTCCATTGGACTGGATGACCTTCCTACTCCATGACTTCATAAAAAGATTTAACAGAAAAGCACCCACTCCTTTCATCCTTTCTTATTCAGGTATCTGAGGATTCTGTAAGAGATTGGTTGGGATGGCTATCAAGAAATATGCCCTTGAGGATTCAATGAGTTAGAAGATTGGCTAATGGGACGGCCAACTCATTAGCAACGCAAGGGGTGAATAAGGATCATTTATATTGGGCTCAAGTGTAATTTTAATCTGTGTTGTATGTGATTGGTTCGGTATATCCAGTACAGAAATAAGCTATTCTACCTCCTAATCATTCAGGTTTCTTTTGAAATGGGGTGTCCACATTATCTTACTCTTTCCAGTTCATAGTATTCCTAAAATAATGGCATTTTGGTTTACAGCAAAACTATATAACATGGGATAAGGCACAGATAGTGGTCTGTCAACAAGCCGCATATTCTTCCGAAAATAAGTATGATTGCCTCTATCTGGTTTAAGAGTTATTTGGGCCTTGAAATCTTCCCTCATTATCCCTTTCAAAATACTTATCCCATGTGTATTTTGGGTTGGCAGTGACTCCTGCTCCATGTGTCAAAATGGCAGTTTGTACATTGTTGATGTTTTGGACACATGGATCTCTCTCTCTCTCTCTCTCTCTCTCCCCCTTCCTCCCTCTCCCTCTGTCTCTAAAGTATCACACCACACCTTGGAGCAAACTAAGGCATTTACGGCCTGGAGTTGCAATAAGAAATCCCTAAACTTGACTTAAGAAAGCTGCAAATAGTGAATAAAGCATTCTACCAGCATATTTTATGGTCATCCACATTGTCCATGTCTTGGATCCTGGGCAATATGAGATCCCCGTATCAATGTCCATGTTTGTATCCATGTAAAGTATTAAAAGGAATCTTTTGGCAGAATATATTTATAGGATTTCCATTCTTGGCCTCACTGCATGGTGTATCACAGCATACCATTTATTTAAACATAAACCAAACCCACCTGTTCTTTTTCTATTTCGAGTTGTGCACTAGTTAGCTGGTAGTGTTGTTACTTTTCCTTAGATGTTTGGTTGCCTTGTTGACTCGATGGATTTAGCATCAACAGCATTTCCATTATTTATCAAACAAGAGTTGCTCAACTTGTTCATACTTGAAGGTCTTTCATGCTTACCTAGTTGATTTGGAGAGTCAATTCTTGATTGGCCCTGAAAACCATTTTGGCTGGTCTGGATTTGGAGTGCCTGCTGGATTAGGAGATTCTGTTTTTGCTCAACTTCGTATTTGAGAACCCTCTTCTTCCTTATTAATTACTATAGAGATGTTTTATCTAGGCTCTCTAACTGTAGATTTCAGTTTCATTCAGTTTAAATTTTGATTAAACTCAACTCAAAACAGCCTTAATCCTAACTATTTGGGGTTGGCCACAAGAATCCTTTCTTGCAATTGTGTTCTATCAAGAGCCATGTGTTTTTCAAGTTACTAGTCTGTAAATCATTTTGTACCATTCTTCTTGCTCTTTTAGAACCTTCTATTTGTACCAATTCACTCACTGATGCAATCATTGGTTTCTCTAAATCTGAAATTCAAATTTGAACTGGATAAAGTTACTAATCTAAGGTATTAGTAATCCTCCATTTTTTCTCCTGTTTCCACTGCTACCGAGTTTGTCAAGTTCTTACATCCAAGCTGCCTAGTTCACTTTCCTATTTAATTGATGAGGAATTACATCTTGGATTTGTATTCTGAGCCTGTTAAAAATCATGTTTTAGTTCTAGAAAGTGCTGCAAGATTGTTTTCCTAAAAGAATTCCAAAAGACTTTGTTCTAGTGGATTCTGAGAAGAGACAGGATTAAGTGGAATTTGAAGGGAAGTGTACAGGAAGCTTGAAGGTAATGTTCACAAAAACTCAATATCTCCCACCTCTGTTACTTGCCTGAATTCATTGAAAAGTCATTTATCGTTTTTTATACATTCTAAACCCAGCTTCTTAAAAGCTCCATTATATGAATATTTTCTCCCTGGTTACCTGAAAATGTCACTAATGAAAGTTCATCTGACAATCTCCTATTGTTTTGTAATTTTTAGGAATTCCTGTATATTAATATTGTTACTTTTTCTGTTAGTGTTAATGTTAGTTGAAAACTTGAAATATATAAAACTAAAGATTGATCTGTAAGATTTCACTTATGACTGCTTTATTGGCTGGCCCAAGATTAGAAAGGGAGTGGGAATTATTGAGCATAGAATACAACTGATAATATTTTACCTGATGTCATGTGGAGGCTATTGAATAAGCAGGGATAGTCAAGTCTGGTTATCAGGTTACTATTGGCAATAATTTATTTGGAGAAATTCATTGAAGTGAAGCTTGGGCAATAAGTTTTAAACCTTGGTTTATGTAGACTTGGTATTATATTCCAGTGCAGATCCACCTATTGGTATTGTGACAATGCAGAATGGAGTGATTGTTTGTCATTTTCTAGTTTCCTTTAATGCAAGTTGTAAATTTCCCAGAGCACAAAAAAATTTGTATCTTTAAGCATATTCCAGTGCAGATCCACCTATTGGTATTGTGGGAGTTCTCCATGTCTTGTATGAGGCTAATCGTCTGAAAAACCACAGTAAGAACAATTATCTTGTATGAAGAGTTAAGTTTTGGCCACATCTATATCTCTTATCAGATTTCCGAGTCACCATTTATTAATGTGAAACAAAAACAAATCAATGGTGTCAGTGTGGTAAGCTGTTTTGTATGACCTACTTGTTAAAAATTCTAGAATCATATATTGATAAATGCACTTTAATATTGGAAGTTGGAAGTCTATTCGGTCTAGTTTTCCTCTGTTCATTCACACCTGTTTCTTCTTTTATTTACTTTTCTGATGGAAAGTGTTCATACCAGTGTTTTAAAAGGCGTGGGAGGTGTATGCCTGGAGGCACGCCTCTAGGCGAGGTGCCCCCAAAACGCCCTGAGGCGTATGCCAGAGGCGCTGACACCTCTGAGGTGTATGCTTCAGGTGCAAGAGGCATATGCCTCGTATGCTTTTTTCATGAGGCGTGCTAGAGGCATACGCCCCATGCACACCCCATGTAAAAAGATAGAAAAAAACGAAGAAAAAAGAAAAAAAAGAAGGAAAGGAAAGGAAATGAAAGAAAGGGAAGAGAAAGAAAAGGGAAGGAAAGGAAAGAAAAGATAAGGGTGGGTTGAGGACTAACCCCCGGACCCCTCCTTTTAACTAGTGATATGCATCTTCATTCTTCTTAATATAAAAGATTTTTATTAAAAATAAAGAAAAATAAGATCCTCCTCCTTCCTCTTTATCCCCCCTCTTAAGTAGGCTTATGCCTCTTTGTGTTCAGGAGGCTTATGCCTCTTGCATTCTGAAATATGCCTCACGCCTCTACGTAGTGGAATGCTTCGCGTCACGCCTCCGCATTTTAAAACATTGGTTCATGCAAGTGGATGCTTGGTTTATTATGTTGCCTTTTTTTCTAGGTGGAGGTATATTGTAACCTTTCTCATAAATCTATGTGAGAACCAAAATGATTTCTCTATTTGGTTGTGGTATTTATTACCAAGCTATGCATTTCCGTGGAATAAAATACTCAGGTTGGCCCAAGAAAGCATTTTACACTGGTTTGGGCTCGGGTCCTTGGACCAGGCCCATTCAAATTGTGACAGAAGCACAACCCAAGCCTGCCCAAAGCAGCACCCCAATTATGATACAACAATCTCATCGTTGACCCTCCATGGAGTTCACTATTTGTGAAAAGAATGTCTCAATCTGAGAATAGGACCCTCAAGAAGCAGAGGCATTTTCTGGAATATTAGATGCGGAGGAAGATGTGAAAACAATAATGGATATTTAAATATTTATTATGTTCTTTCAGGGAAGAATGCTAAAAATTGATGAGACTAATATTAACTTCATCTCATTTCTTAGATATGCATGTAAATCATCTTCTGCAGTTGCTGCAAATTGTGCTTAATTCTGTTCAAGGAAAATATTTACTGTTGACTTCAGTTTTCATTGAGCTTTTGTGGTCCAAATATTAGCTTTGCAAATTCTTAATCAATTCCTCTGTTTTTTCAGGTTTAGGTATGTTACTGATGTCATGGCCTATCACATCACAGATATTGGAACATTGCACGACTCACAAGTCATGATGCCTCTTGGGCACAGATAAACAAAGGTGTTAGGAGACCATTTACCTTAAATTTGGTTGCTTTTCTATTTGATTCTTGCTCCTTTTAGTTTTATTTTCAGTTCTCACAGTGCTCAATAAACTAGTCGTGTAGAAGGTCATCAACCAGACTGTTTAAATTTGCTTCTTCTTTTACCACCATGGAAGAAGCTAGATTCAAATATGTTCGTGCTAAGCCGAAACTATGTCCATTGCTTATTAAAGTACCTCTAAGCAGAGAAGTTGCACTTGTTCATACCATCTTTTTTTATTGTCATTACAACATACCTAGATTCCTGAGGTTGGAGTAACATCTGATGAATTTGCATAAGAGATTTCAAACTGTGCCAAGCTACCTCACTACTGTTCAATATAAAATCCTTTATACGGGACCTGCCTAAGGTTCAAACTTCAATCTTCAAATTACCGTATTGGATACGTGATTACTACCAGTGGAGGGTGTCAGCTAGACTTAGAGGATTCTTTGGATCTCACTAAGGTGATGTTTGGCTTCGATGATAATTTCCCAGAAATCGGCGCCAAATAGGATAAACATCAGAATTTGAAGAATCAGTGATTTGTTTTCTTGTTTGGTTGGCTGATTATGTCAATTTTTGGGAAATTAACCAGAAATTGATAATTGAAATCTAGGGGTACAAGTTGGACGGGTTGGGCCGGGTTTATGGTCAACCCAGGCCTGGCTCTAAAATTTGGGCTTAAGGCCCAAGCCCGATTTTCCCAACCTGAGCCCAGCCCACCTTGTAATTTGGTGCACTCGGGCCTGGATCGGACTTGGGTTAGTCAATAAACCCACTTTAAAATTATATATATATATATAAAATTTGGCCGAGCTTGGGTCAGGCTCGGGCTACCTAAGGGTTAGGCCCGAGTTCGGCCCGAAAAATAAAAAAGCCTGACTTCTTGGGCTCGAGCTTAGCCCGAGGACCGAAAATCCAAGCCCAAACCATGTAAAATTCTGGGTTGGGCCGGTTCGGGCTCGGGCTGGGCCCGTCCAAGTTGCACCCCTATTGAAATCAGCCCTTTTTAGGTATCACCTTTTTTGGTAATTTCCTAATTTTTAACTGATTCTGATTTTTTGAGGATGGCATGGCATCTAACATGGCATTGAATAATAACTCTAATACAAAAATACTTGGCCCTTGAAAATCAGTACTAAATAGACTCAGTCGATTTCTCAAAAATTGGTTTACATGCCATAAATGATATATCAACTGAACCAAAAATCATCTATTTTTGGATAATCGACAAGGAGAAATCATCATCAATGCTAAACATCACCTAATTCTCTAATTGTCAACGTGGTCTTTGAGTGTTTAGGATCTAAAGTTCTAAACTATTGATAACATGGCAAACATAGTTCAAAGCCTTGGAAACAAATGGATCGGATTGGATTCAATAAAGGTATATTTGAATCCGATCTGACACAGTTCATGTGTGGTCCAATCCGATTCGAAGATCAGATCTGATAGGACTCAATCTGAATTTGAATCCTATCGGATCTTTGGATTTGATTTGATCCTACTTGTTTTCTTTAAAAATTAATAAATTATTAAAAGAAAAAATAAAATATACTAATTTAAATAAAGAAAAAACAAAAAATATAAGTATTTTTCAAGTATTTTCATTATATATACATATTTTTTATAAAAAAAAATAAATAATACAACAAATTTATAAAAATGCAATATAAGTAATATATTTATAAATAAATAAATAATATATATATATATGTATTATATATATTTTTATTTATAAATATATAACACATCAAATCGGATCTTCTCAGATTGGTTGGGGGGGGGGGGAATCCAAATCCGATCCAAAGATCTGACCAAGGGTGACCCGAATTCGACCAAATAGGACTGGATCTCAGATCAGATTGAATCATAATCCAATCCATTTGCACCCCTAGAAACACAATAATACCCGAGTATTCATGGTTCACAATAGCTGGAGAACGAAAGAGTGGAGATTGTTTCATAGAACATAAACATTTGAAGTTGCATTTTGTTCAAAGCTTCAAACATTTGAAGTTGCAAAATTTCAAAGAGTAGAGACAATATGTCTTACAAAGGAAAGGTCAGTAGTGATTGTTGATCTATTTCCAAGTTTATAGGCTTTTGAATGCTGGCACTATATTATCCCAAACCCATAGATAGTTTACATTTTGGTGTAAGTCTCTCCAACTTCAAGACTAATGCAAAAAAAGTAAGGCCCCGTTTGGTTCATAAGAATAGGGGTCTAGAATCGGAATAGTATTTTGATTCCAACTATTGGTTGGGTGGAATCGGAATCCCATTCCCATTCTTGCCAGAGCATTCCCCCATTTGAGGGAATGGCTATTCTCTGCCTCTTCAATGGGAATGAAATCTCATTCCTAATGATTTCAATTCTCATTCCCATTTTTGTCTGAACCAAATAGATTATAGGAGTAGACCATTTCAATTCCGACTCTGAAGGATTTCGATTCCAATTCCAACTGCGAACCAAATAGACCTTAAGTATTGAAGGGGAGTCGAATTGTCTATATTTGTAACATGTAAAGTCTAAAGTTAAAATTGTAAATCGGAGGTGGAGTACAAGTGTACAATTGTTGCTTCCATTACCAATAATTGACATAGACCTCGAACTGTTTTTGCCTCTAGGTTACGGTTCACCAATTCGACTGTCCAAGTCGAACAGGTGCATATATATATATATGTGGGAGGGGGGGTAATTGTCCAAAACCCATCATCACTTTTTCTGAATTCTCTTAAACCCACCACAACTTTTCAAAACATCCAAAACTCACCATGTCAATGAGATAACGGTAACTTGACCAATGGGCATTGTTAACTTACCATTTTACCCTTCATTATATTCGGTCCATTTTGCAATCTACCAAAATTACCCCATCAATCTTCAACCCAAAACCCACTACTTTCTTTCTCCATCGGCCGCTCCTTCCCCTTTGTTTGAGAACTTGAAGAAGAACAGACTGCAACTTCTCACCGGTCGTTGCTTCTCTCATACCTTCACCTGAGAAGAAGAACGGCCGGATGCTCATGAAGACTGTTCCCATCGTCTGAGAAGAAGAGCAATCGGAATATAGTCCGCAGCTTATCACCGATTGTTGCTTCTCCCATCGTCTGAGAAGAAGAACGGTCGATTATTACCTCTCTCATTGTCTGAGAAGAAGAACATTCGGAACATTGCTGCTCATGTTTATACACAGACACATACACCATTAAGGTTCCTTTACAAGATTTTTCCTTCATCTGACAAACCCAACTCAGTAACATTGTACTTTAGAGAACTACCAAAGCCACGGTTGTCTACCATCTTCATCAATGAACCAACATCAAAATCTGCCTTATTGGAACTCCCAAAAGGTTCCTTCATGGGATTTTTCTCAAGTAATTGTATAAGAGTTCCTGATTACCTTTTGACTGCCTAACCTTCTAAACTTGCTCAACTGGAGCTATTGCAGCTGAACTAAACATCTCCAGGCTTTCCATGTCCTTTCTTGTGGGAATAACTGGCTCACTAGTCGTATTATTAGGGATGCTCTCACTCCTCTTTTCCTACAACCTCTTGCTTTACTCAGAAACAAAACTCTGTTTCTGCAACCTCATCCCCTGAACACTAAAATCTTCCACTTCAGTAGGAAAACCTCCAAACTTGGACTCAGAAGACATTAGTTCTTTCTTCCCTACTTCCTCTATCTTTCCAAGACGTCCATTGAGATTAAGAAGCCAAGGAACTACTGTCAAAGATCTTATACTGAGATTCATATGCTCCAGGGTTAGTTGTTTCAGTGCTGCTTCCAAACTTACCCAAGAAAGCTTTTGGCTTAACTTGAGAAACTGATGATTCTTTCAAATTCAGTTTAGTGTCCACTGTTGAAGTGGATCCTGCCCTAGACAGATCATGACCAACTAGCTGACCTCCCACTTCAACATCATCCATTGTGTTCACAGAAGCTCCAAAGTTGGTCTTAGATGCAACATGGTCTTTCAAATGAACATCATCTCCCCTAGCTATAAGACCTCCAAACATTGCTAGTAAAGTAGGTTGATCTTTTGCTCCAGCACGATCTGTTCCAATGGAAGATGTTTTGGAGAAGTTTAGTGATGATGATTGATCTTGCATTCCAACCTACTCCACTCTAGCAGGATATGATCTGAATCGAATATGAGGAGATGCTTAATCCTTCAAATCAGAATCCTCACCCCCACCTGTAAGTGATTGTGAATGGGTATCAGAAGGCATCTGGCCTTTACTCCCAACATTCTCTGCTCGGTCAAAAAAGGCATTGTTAAATTGAGGTCGAGAAGCAAGTTTATCTCTGATCCTAACATCCTTTGAGCTTTCTAAGAAAACATTCAATCGGGTTTTAGAATCCTTTAGCTCAACATTCTCTTCCCTAGTGGGAAAGCCTTCAATTTGGGGCCGAGAATTAGTTGTATCTTTCAATGCAGAATCCTCTACTCTATTAGGAGCAAGAATTAGAGCAAACCTCTTAAGACTTCCTGTTTGGAGCAAGAAAGACTCTCAGTGAGGAATCCTTCCTTGGACATTGAGAGCAAGAAGACCCTACCTTGGACGTTGAGAGCAAGAAGACCCTTCCTTTGATGTTGGGAGGGTTGAGAGTAAGAACACTTTGGGTTGAGAGCAAGAAAAACTCTCAGTAATGAATCTTATATATGAAATAGGATTGGGCGCTTAAGGGCATTTTGGTCAAAGTGATGGTATATATATATATATATATAAGTACATATTTTGCATGCATTGAGTATCAACCCTTGACCTGATGATCGGGTCAAACAGGTCAATGGTTAAACCGATTGAGTTAGACAGTTATTGACCAAGTCAATGATTTTTTACTGAACCAAACCTAAAATCTTGGCTAGGTGATGGTTCAAACTGTTTAATTGGCCAGGTCAACAATGGGTTGAAAACACTGCTCTATACTAATGACTCAACTATATTAAGCCATGGTCGGTTTGGTTTTTAAATTTGGAAACTGAAATCAACCCAACCAGCCGAGTTATTTACATTTTTAAACTGAAACTTTGAGAAATTTACCAGATCAGATTGGATCAGTTGGTTTGATTGATTTGGTTCTCCTTGTAAACAATTATGTTCAGGTCTATGGATCTTCGGTATTTGTTTGTATGTTAAATTCGGGTTTGAAACTATTGACCAAAAATGTGTGCAAGAGTTATAACAGCACATCAAAAACTTTTCCCCATGAATGACACAAGAAATGTGCCTATTTACGACCATAGAGTCTTGTATATGAGCAAATCCTTTGAAGGAAAAAATTTAAGTTGTTCCACATTATCTTGACAGACCGTGATTCTATCTTTTTTCTATTTGGATTGTGGTAAATTTAGCCACCAAAAGATCATGTCCTAAAAAGATGCAAAAAGCCTATTTTAGATTGATTTGGGGAAGCTTCGAATGAAGTTTTTTTAGTATTTTTAGATTTGTCTTTGCATGAAAAAACACACCTGAATCAAACGATATTCAGACTCTCAAGATTTTAATGCAAAAGCTCATTGATCTTTTGATTGTCTGTTAGACCAGAAGATCTTCCCAAAAAGACTTGCTAAACTGTCTCATTTCATTGATCAAACTACCAACTAACAGAGCAAAACTATAAATGTTAAAGTGTCAGCAAAAGTGTGTGAATACACTTCTAAGTCCTCTTAACTCTTATCTTTTAAGGAATCTTTTAATGTTAAGAAAAAATTAGTTGTTATTTCCTCTTATCTCTTATCACTTAAAGTGCAATTATATTTTTTCCCAAAAAGATAAACAAAAATTCTAATATATAGGTCAAAATAGATATTTGATAGTTTTCACAATTAATTAAGAATAACATCCATATATTTAGAGTTCAAGGAAATAAAAGTTCACGAACACCAATAATTAGTACACTTTCGGATGTTAGGCCCTAAGTTCTAACACATCAATTCTGAAAGGAAAGCATCCACCGCGGGAACATTTCTCATCAATCAGGGCCGTCAATTTGGTAAGGCCCAATAATACAAAGAAAAAACACTAACAAAAACCATGACCATTGACCAAATCAAGAGCTTTTGGCCTCCCTCTCTCCTTTACTCCGTCCGGCGTAGTTGCTTGAATGAAAATCGATGAACAGAACCAAGAGAGAGGCGTTGAATACAGCGTTGAAGCACCAACCCCAGATGCCGGAGCACCCTTCTCCCGTAAAATGGAACCAAAGCATCACCACCGAAACCGCGAAACTGAACACGAACTGCACGATCTGACAGTCCGTCACCAGCCTCTTCCACGGCGGCCGCTTCCCCAGGCTGCAGAGCATGTAGTAGCCGTACATCAACGTGTGCACAGATGCGTTCGTCACCAGCGCCACTGGCACCAGCGACTGGGACGTGTGGAGCCAGAGGTAGCACATGACCACCACGACCGCGTGGTGGTACACGTGGAGGAACGTGAGTCGCCTGTTCGATCTGAGGAGGATCAGGAGGGTGTCGATGAATTCCAGGATCTTGGAGAGGTAGAAGACGTAGGCCCAGAAGAAGACGGACCCGCGAGGTAGGGTCTGGTTTGGGGGGAAGCAGAAGATCCAGCGGGTGTCTGGCTTCTGGGCGGCGGTGGAGAGGGTGCATCCAACGGCCATGATGAGAGAGAGGACGAGGAGAATAAGGTTGTGGACGGCGGAAATGAGGCGGAGGAGAAATGGGGTCGGTGGTGTAGCAGACGATTTGGGTCTGGGTGGGGAGGTGGCTAGATGGATGAGAAGAGTGAGGGAGAGATAGGTGAGGACGGTGGTGGCCAGGAATTGGGTGGAGGCGCCCCATGTCTCGCCTTCCTTCCACTCGAATTCGCTCACCACCGGCTGCTCCACCAACCAGTGGCGGAAGCTAGAAAGGATCCGCTCCATGCTCTGCTCTTCTGTCTCCCTCACTGGTCTGTGGTCTTTATAGTCTTTACTCTTTATCCATCCAGGCAGCGGAGCCGAGAACTAGTCTCAAAATTTATTTAGTTAGGTAGGTAGGGGCCGCATCATCCGAGGACCGCCAATACCAGTTGAACACGTAAGACGAGTTTTGTCCAAATGAAAGTAAACGGTAAATTTATTTATTTATTTTTTTCTTTTGGGTTACGACAAACCCTGACTCGCACTCGCACATCTATTGTTTCTCCGTTAGAGAGGGAGAGGACATTCTGCTAGTCTCCGATGTGGACTCAGTTAGGGTGTAAATGGATCGGATCATGCCTGAAGTTCGATTTTATATTGTCGGATTTGAATATCTCTGTTTTAGTTAGTTTGTTTTTTTTTTTTATCGGATCGGATCGGATTATCAGAAGTCAGATTAAATTTGGATCACCTATCCGATCTGATGTATATCTGATGTATTTATTTATTTATATATAATATATATGTATATATGTTATTTATTTATTTATTTTAAATATGTTATTTATATTGTATTTTTATAATTTTTTATATTATTTACTTTTATAAAAACATGTATGTATTGATGAAAATAATTGAAAAAAGACTTTTATTTTTTGTTTTTTATTTAAATAAATATGTTTTCTTTTTTTAATAATTTATTAATTTTTTTAAATTAATTCGGATTGGACCAAATTTGGATATTCAATATCTTGATCGGATTTGAATTCAAATTGGTATTTGTAAGATCTGATTGGATCTTCAGATCAGATCGGATTGGACCTATAGTGTTTCAGATCGGATTTGAATATACCTTGATTTGAATCTGATCTGATCCGTTTGCATCCCTAGACTCAACTTTGGGTGCATTGAAGCCTTTTTCTTCATAGCTCCATCTCCCTAGAGAAATTGAGAAACCAATTGATATCTCTCTCTCTCTCTGATATTGATAGAGAAAAATTAGAAACCATTTCCAAAGTCGCCACTTTATGCCTCAATCCTAATGCACCGACAACCACATTGTGAACATTTTACTATGTCCTCGTTTGCTTTTTGGTAAGTTACTTGCTTGCGTAAACGCATAAGTGTTTCCCGAGTAAGTGCATTTATCCAATAACTCTTTTATTTCCCATATGTAATAAATACAATGACCATTTTAGCCATAAAAGTCCATTATTAAAAGGGGCATTTTTGTTCCATCCAAGTGGTGGAAACTTTCCCCCGAGTGGGAAAGTTATTTACCCACTTGTGAGATGGGTGTGACTTACCCGAATAAGTGATCCCATGAAAATAAATTTTCCCTTGGTCCTCACATAAATCTAAAAATAAAGAACATGGGTTTCTTGGTCAATGGGAACCAAAATCCCATTGACCAACTCCCCTCCCCCCCCCCTCAAAATCCAAAAAATGAATAGGTCGTAAGATGTCATTTGCATGATTGCATCCCTTCTCTCTTTCATTCTCAACCTAAAGCTCTATTTAGCTATTCTCCCAAAAGCTTTGGAGCTTTATTTTAAATACTTTTACACCCTTTTGAAAGTAACCATTTGTTAGGTTTTTTGTTTCAACTCTACTCGAAACAACAAAACCTCTACCCCCTTTCTCTCTCTCTCTCTCTCAAGTACACACCCTTAGTACATTTAAACAATATTTAGAGAACTGAACCGGGTATATAACCGAAGAAAGGAGAGGTTCTTGGGTCAAACCAAAGGTCGAACCATGATGACATGGGATATATGTATATATACTATGGGTTATATAAATACTATATATAATATATTTTACAACTTCTAATACACTTTAATATGGTGGATGGATGGCAAATTACTTAATTTTTTTAAAGCAAACGACAAGAGTTCAAGTTCCATAATTTATATTTACTTTAAAATACATGTGTAATAAAGTAATATATATATATATATATATATATATATATATATATATAAGAGGTGGATCAGTGATAATTAAGCAACGTCTAAAAATAAGAGGTCATGGGTTCAAGCCTTCTTAATCTCATTTTAAAATTTCAAGTATTTAATGACCCGAGTGGTTTTATGAAATTGGCACTAGTTCACTGGTTTTCTGGTTAAATCGGGATGGTCAACCGATTTTCACTAGGCTTATAATAAATTTGGTTTTTGGGGTATGTCTGAACCATTTAGGGTCACAGTTCAACTGATCCAACTGGTCGGTCCGGTCCAGTTTTTTAAACACAATGTTTAAGCTACTTATGTTCTTATACGATTAGAATCAGTGGTCAACCAAATTTGGACACATGGCAATGAGCTACGTAAGTTTGACACCTTAGCTTAGGTAGTGCTTAGCTGCCCTCACTTAATCACCTCGTCGAGATTCAGCCACCTTAGCACCACCCATGGGAGTGCAGCCCATCTAGGAACATACCGAGCCAAAAAGGTACAAGTGACACTGGTAGAGGAACCACTTGGTACCACTGCAACCTCATGTGGTTAATCAAAGTAGGAAGTGGAGCCTAGAGCTCCACCACATATGTTAGACATTAAACATGCCATACCAGGTGTCTCAAAATCTCCACCATGTGTCATGAGCTCATTGGCTTCGAGAAGTTAATGACCCCACCTATATAAAGGTAACATTTACTTGGTTCGTTTATCACTTTCACCATACTGAGACACCTTAGAGAACTCGATTCCATCTTCTTTCATTTTACTAACTTGACTATCAAAGTTACTATCTTGGGAGATTGCCTTAGGCCCTTTGATGTTTACTTTGTTATAGACACCATGCATCTCCATTCGGAGTGTGTAGATGATGACTCCGTCTTCTTTGGTGACTTTAAGACATCATCAATTGGCGTCATCTATGGTAAACTAAATAGAAATGCCAGTTCTCCCTCATATTATACTTTCCACCATGTCAAACCATAAGCAATCAAAGATACCTACTCCTCATCCCCATGATTCAAGTGATGCCTATTCTTTTAGGAGATAACCACTAGTTTCCCTTGTAGAGCCCTTTATACAACCTCAGGGGGTAACCAAAGAGCATTTTGACATGTTGATGAAGTTGGTCTAGGGTATGTCCATAAGACTACAAGTGTAAGAGCAATAGTAGTAAGGTCTAGCTCACCCCTAGCATGTTGAAGCACCACCATACCAAGAAGTAGGTCAACAACTTGTCCCACCTTTAACAGACCATCATCGTTTGGTAGATAGGAGAAGTCATTACCATACTCAATAGTCTATGAGGAATGAAAGCATGTGCAACATTCCTAAGGAGCACCACTCTGAATCCTTTGTTAGGTCGGAGTACTCAAGAGCTACCTCTAACCTGATCCAAGGAGACACATGTGGGAGATGAATGAGAAGTTGGACTCCATAGTGAAGGAAGTCAAAGTCATGTGACCAAGACCAACACACCTAAGGTAATAAGATCACCAACTCTCACTCCAAAAATCCTCTCAGAGCCTAGATCTTGGGGTTTTAAGGCCCTAAACTTTCAACCGATGATGGAATCTCAGATCCAATAGATCATGTAGAGAGCTTTCAGGCCCTCGTGTTATTGCATGGGGCCTTAGAGGTTAATATCTGCTTTGCCTTCCCAACCATTTTAAGGAAGGCAACCTAGTTATGGTATTCCAATCTCCCCCATGGTCCACCACTTCATGGAACTAGTTTATAGAATATTTTATTACTCACTTTGTTACAAGTCATAGGTTCCAAAAGACAATGACCAACTTGATGCATATCTAGTAGAAACCAGACGAGACCCTCTAGGAATACATATAGTGTTTTAACTTGGAGGCCTTGGAGGTCAGGAATCTAGATCTTATAGCAGTGGTAGCGGCAATAACTCATGGAGTTTGGGACCCCTGCTTTGCCTTCTCACTAGCAAAGAAACCCCACAGAGAATGAACGACTTCCTTAGTTGAGTAGAAAAGTACATGAACATCAAGGAGGCATTACAAGTGAGGAAAGATCAAGGAGAGAAAAAGAACAAGTAAAGGAAGAACAAAGGTGACGAGGAGGAAGGGAACGAGAAATGAACTAGAATCAGAGAAAGGTTGTCTTGATAGATTACATTTCCACCTCATAAATATAGTAGTTACACACCACTGAATGCTTCTTAGAGTGAGATCTTAATACAGGTGCAAGGCTAGGACATTCTCAAGTATCTACCTCGGATGAAGGGTAATTTGGAGAAGAGAAATTAGAAACTATTGCAAGTTCCATAGCAACATTGGGCATGACACTAAACATTGCTGAGAGTTGAAGAATGAAATTGAAGATATGATCAGATGAAGATATCTGAAGAAGTTTGCTAAGATGATTGTGCAACATAGCAACCTAGAGAGAACCAATAAATGAACTGACAACTAGGTTAATAGTAGTGGTCTTAGGAGGGTTAACAACCGCCAAATGTAGCAACTGAATGAGAAGGGCATATGTACAATAGTTACAAATTGGTTCTTGGCCATAGAAGAAAGCTAAGTTGGATGAGATCATCCATTCTCTAATGATTGATTTGAGAGACATTTAGACCCCCGCATGATGGTGTGCTAGTAGTATTGTTGATAGAGGCGGAAAAAGGTAAGGAGAATTTTAATTGATAGTTAGTTTGGTTGATATCCTCTTTTATGAGCCTTTTTAGTAGATGAAGATCCATTGAGACCTACTTACACCCAAAAATGTACTCCTGGTTGGATTCAATGAGGAAGTGGTCCAACATGAAGGGAAGATAAACTTATTGGTAATAGCAGGGGACGCACCGAGAAAGGTGACATTGATGATAGGGTTTTTAGTAGTGAAAGTAGTATCACCCTACAACATCATTCTGGGTCGACCCATATTGCATGCACTCCGAGTTGTTGTATCCACATACCACATTGCCATGAAGTTTCCCACCAATCAAGGAGTGTAATACACAACAACTAGATTTAGTCAAGGAAATGTTACGTTATAGCTTTAAAAGGAAATTCCCACCTAGACTTGCATTATGAGATCGACACTAATTGGGGGCAACTAGTTAAAAAGATCTTGTTGCAATACTGCTCTCAGATAATGAGTTAGAAAAG